TTTGCTTCAGAATGAGAACAGAAATCGTGCTCCGCGGCGCGGCGGCAGCAGGAGGCCCCATTAGCTAAAGTGGTGCTTCAGGTTAAGAACAGTTTCAGGCTAAGAACGAACCTCTGGAATGAATTAAGTACTTAACCTGAGGTACCACTGTACAGGATTAAACATTAAAAACTTCCCTAAACAGGGCTGCCTTCAGATGTCTTTGAAAAATAGGATAGTTGCCTATTTCCTTGACATCTGATGGGAGGGCGTTCCACAGGGCAGGCACCACTACTGAGAAGGCCCTCTGCCTGGTTCCCTGTAACCTCACTTCTCGCAGTGAGGGAACTGCCAGAAGGCCCTCGGTGCTGGATTTCAGTGTGCAGGCTGAACGATGGGGCTGGAGACGCTCCTTCAGGTATACTGGACCGAGGCCGTTTAGGGCTTTAAAGTTCAGCACCAACACTTTGAATTGTGCTCAGAAACGTACTGGGACCCAATCTCAGGACCCGTGTTATATGGTCCCAGCAGCCACTCCCAGTCTAGCTCTCGCATTCTGGATTAATTGCAGTTTCCGAGTCATTGTCAAAGGTAGCCCCACATAGAGCGCATTGCAGTAGTCCAAGCAGGAGATAACTAGAGCATGTACCACTCTGGCGAGAGTGTGCCGAGAGTGTGCATTAGTGTGTGGTTTCCCTGAGGCCATATAGCAAGTTCATGGCAGAAGTGAGAGTCAAACAGGGGACTTTCTGATTTGTAGATAGCCTCAAACATCCATACATATCAGGTCACACACCCCTCTGCCACGAGTTCACTGGAGACAGGCCAGAACCCTCTACTGCACCTGAGGGGAGCAGGCTAGTCCATGGGGTGCATGATAGGTCAGCCTCACTTGTGCCCCCATTGATGGAGCGAGGTATGTAGATGAAAGTACAAGGAGTCCAGACCTGAATCTACTGCCAGTCAGTTTCATACACTAAATATTTGTGTAGTAATCCTGAGTAGATTGCTGTTATGTCCACATCTGGAAAAGGTTTATGATACACAGAAACACCTCTGGCCAACTGGGCACAGACACCTGGTGCACTGCTGGAAACATCATATTAGCTGTAACACGGAGGTACTTTAATCCCCGTTGCTTGGTCCCAGCTCCTGCCAGCCTAGCAGTTTGAAAGCATGCCAGTGGAAGTAGATAAATAGGTACCACTGTGGTGGGTAGGTAAACTGTTTCCGTGCGCTTTGGCTTCTGTCACGGTGTTCCGTTGTGCCAAAAGCTGTTTAGTCCTGCTGGCTACATGACCTGGAAAGCTGTCTGTGGACAAATGCCGGCTCTCTCAGCCTGAAAGCAAGATGTGTGCCACAACCCCATAGTCGCCTTTGACTGGACTTAACTGTCCAGGGGTCCTTTGCCTTTCTTTCTTTTTTACCTTTATAAGGTGTGTGATCTTTGTTGTATATTCTGTTGTTTCTTCAGCTTGTAAACTACTTTGTGTATGGTAACATAGGAAGGCTGTATACTAAGTTAAAATGGAATGAAATGATATACGTTTCTTGTGTGTTGCTGTTGATGTGCGGCTGCACCCAATGGTGACTTTGTGCTAGCACAAGGTGGAGTATCCAAAAAAATTCCCAGTTCCATCTCCCGCTGTCCAAGAGGTTGCTTCTGAGGAGTAAGGGGTCCTCAGGAAAAGTATGGAAAGGCTGCAATAGATAAAGGGAAGCAGGACAGAAGTGGTATTCAAAGGCTTCCTGCTTCCTACAATGGTAGTAGAACACAGCTGTTATATCCGGTAGCTATTGCTAGCCTTCTCCATGAATTTGACTAACCTTCTTTTAAAGCCATCCCAATTGGTGGCCATAACTACTGTATTTTTCGCTCCATAAGACACACCGGACCATAAGACGCACCTAGTTTTTAGAGGAGGAAAATAAGAAAAAAAATATTCTGAACGAAACAGTGGATGTATGATTTTTGTGGTTCATTCTGTGGCCACAGACATGTGATCTGATGGTGAATTTGGGGTGACCCAATGCAAAAATCCCGAGGATCCATGTGGAGCCGTGCTTTGTAACCACGTTTTTGCGCCATTGCGGCCCCACGCAACAGTGGGTGCGTGATTTTTTTGGTGCAGGCTATAACCATGGACATGCTATGTGATCTGATGGTGAATTTGGGGTGACCCAATGCAAAAATCCTGAGGATCCATGTGCTTTTACCTCCCCCCTTCCAGGCAGCCTCCGCTAGAGTCCCTTATCTCTCTTCCGATCCCACCGATCAGCTGTTTCCTTTCAACACTCCCTTCCCTCATTTGCCTTAGTGTCTTTTCCTTAGCTGGAGCAGTTTTTTGCTCTTTTTCTTCTAATTTCTCTCCTTATTGCTTTAGTCTTCCTCTTTTCCCCCTTTGCAAGTTTGCTGTCTTTACCTCCCCCCTCCCAGGCAGCCTCCTGTATCTCTAGCATCCCTTATCTCTCTCCCCGATCGGCAAACGATCAGCGGCTTTGTTTCAACACCCACTTCCCTCTTTCAAAAAAAAAAAAAAAGGAAAAAAGCATGATCTGCTTTTTTCCCCTGGGCAATTCGGCTCTAGGGACCACACATTCACTCCATAAGACGCACAGGCATTTCCCCTTACTTTTTAGGAAGAAAAAAGTGTATTTTATGGAGCGAAAACTACGGCACTTCTTGTGAAAGGGAATTGCATAGTTTTAACTATGTGCTGTGTGAAGACGTACTTTCTTTTGACTGCCATGAGGCTTCCAACATTCATCTTCATTGGATAGCCTTGAGTTCCAGCATTATGAGAGGGACAGAGACATCTCCCTTTCCTCTTTCCCCAGACGGTGGAGAATTGTAAACATCTCTATCATGTCCCTTCTCGCTCCCCTTTTTGTTATGTACTGAAGTTCTCACCCTGGGCCAGCAGGGGGATACTGTAGATAGTTATGCAAGTAAGGGATCGAAAGTGACGTTCAGTGATTGGATAGTTTTAGAAAATTGTTACAGTTACGTTGTACTGGAGCTCTATATAAGCGGGCTGACTGAACCTTTCAGTTCAGTTCTGTTCTGGCCTGTGAATAAACAAGAGTTGTTTGAAGAATCACTGTGTCACCTGATATGTTCACCCACAACTTAACACTTTTTTCTAAACGAAAAGCCCCAAATGTTATAACCTTTATTCTAAGGTTATCTTGCTCATTTTGGCTGTTTAAGCTCTTTTATTGTAAATTGCCCTGTGTTTGATTTTATCGCAGGCAGGGGATGGGATGTAAATGCCCAAGGGTTGTATTCAATGCTGTCCATGCATGAGTGGTATGGACCTCTGCTCTTGCAAGGGTATTTCACCTTCCTCTCCCCCCATGTACCCTGAAAAATTGCTCTGGGGAGTTGGGGGGGGTCTGGGCAGGGATCTGCAGGATGGAGAAAAGAAAGATGAAATCCCATTGCACAAGCAAGAGTCCATTTGTGAAACGTCGGATTCTCCCCGTAATTAGTGAATAAAAGCACATTTGGCAACTTGTGGGGAAATGACTGGAAAAAATGGAACAACTAAATAATTAAAGACTTGCTGGAGTGTTTAAAGGAGAGCTTGCCTTTCCAGCAGTGGCAGAATTGTGCTCAGTAGGGAAAAGTCCCTGGTAGGGAAAAGTCAGTGGTGGGTCCCTGAACTAGAACTGAGCACAATTCTGCCACTGCTGCAAAGGCAAGCTCTCCTTTAAACACTCCAGCAACTGCTGCTAATGTGATAGCGCAATGGTAGTCCTGGGTGAACCTTCTGACAGGGAGAAACACAGTCAAAAGGCACACAGAAACGTTGGATAAGGGCTGTCAGATTGTTCGTGTTATGAGGCCTCGTTGAGAGGGGTTTCTTCTGGTAATATGCTTTGATTACACAGCTCAGACTGCGTTGACGGCTAATGAAATTATTTATTTAGATAGATTACTGATTCATCCTACACTACTCTGCTGCTACAGGTTTTTGTTTTGTTTTTTTATCAACAGCATTGAAAACTACCTTTTCCTGCAGGCAGAAACAAAGCAGCTCTCAATTATACACATGAAACCTACACGTAAGTGGTCATCATTATTAATTATCATCAATCCCTTTGAATGGTGCAAGACAATGGCTTGGTTTGTTGTCGTTTAGTCGTTTAGTCGTGTCTGACTCTTCGTGACCCCCTGGACCAGAGCACGCCAGGCACTCCTGTCTTCCACCGCAGTTTGGTCAAACTCATGCTGGTAGCTTGTAGCAGACCATTTTTATAGTGGCAATCTAGTCTGCTCATAAAATTGTTTTTTAATGCCATAGTGTTGAATCTTTTGGTGTTTGAAGGATGAGCATAATTCATCAAAGGTTCATGTAGGGAATTCTAAAACTGGATTTTTTTAAAAAACCTGACATGATCAGTGTTATTCCTGGCAGTATTCAAGCTCATTAGGGTTATTCTTTGATCTAAGATAAATAACAAGACACTTCACAACTAAACACCACACCCACTTTTCCAAGTTGAGGGGATCCTATTTTCATGTGCTATGCAGATACCAAAACTTCAATCCTGCAAAGACATACATGGAGACCTCACCTTATTTTTATCATAAAACAATGGGGGGGGGGGTTTACCTGATTTTGTTTCCCATGCCAGTCCCACTAAAAGCAATAACCCAAAGGTTAATGGGTCTACTCTGAGTATGACACTGAGTATGGCATTGGATACCATAGAATCATTTAAATGTACGAGTTAGAAGGGATCCAAAGGGTTTAATCATAAGATGCTTTGGGTGGGCATTTCCCAGAAAAGTGTCCTAGAGTTTAAAAAAAAAAAGTGGCCTTTTAAAGAAAGTTAATGATAAAAATAAATAAATTATAAGAATGTGATGGCAAAAGAGCTTGTTTTAAAGAGGCAGCATTGCTGATTTAGTATATTTGAAGTACAATTTGCACAAGGATACCTGTCCTTAAAAAGTTCACATATTGACATGAATGTCAGTTAAGTAAAATGTGACAAAACCTAGGGAGAAAACACAGGTTTCCAGCTCCTTTATTACAAAGGTCAAAAGTTATAACAATTTCAATTATTCACATGAACGCAGCTGGTATGCACGGTTACACAGACACAAAACCATCTTTATTCCATGAGCGAAGCAACTTCCCACCTATTTTATTAGAGATAAGAATGTGCTTCTCATTTGTCACAGCTTTGTAAACAGGTTTACATAGGACATAGCACCGGAGTTCAGTCCCCTGCGCAAGCTTATGCAACTTTCCTTTTACTTTGGAAAGAGCTCTGTTGTGATTATGCTTAACCCGAAAGGCTGTCATTCAGTGCAACAGAGCTTTTGCAGCTCCAAAGTGACTAGCAGCCCAGTTTCGTTACATTTCACAGACAAAAATATCACTGGTAACCTGAAAACCCAATGGGCTTGATACATGACCATTATACTGAATTACTGCATATTCAGGTATTAGCATTATACACACACACAAAAACTTAAACCATGGATGTATCGTTTCACCACTCTCTTACACACTTCTCAAGAACTCCACCACTGCTGTTGACTGTAAGAGTTGTTTCAGAGACTGGGAAACAGGAAAACAACATCTCACAGGATAGGAAAGGTTTTACAAGATCCAACAATCACACTCTCCTTACCCCCTCCCCTAGAACAACCAGCTTGATTAGGGTTGTGTGACTATTGTAGTACCAGATGTACCATCATTGGGAATTTGCATTCTTTGTGTGTGCCATGGTAGAAAGAGATTACTAGGAAGAGGTAGGTAGGTAGGTAGGTAGGTGGATTGAAGTTTATGGCACGTGGCAGGCAGGCCACATTGAAGCGCCTACTAACTAGGGTGAAGGAGCAGTGATTTAAACAAAAAGCACAAGAAGCTGTCACCAACATATTGCAGCATGGGATAAACATAGCTAGGAGCCTTCAGATAGGGCTGCCATATGTCCTCTTTTTCTAGGACAATGGCCTCTTTTTCATGGGTATGTAAAATGAGAGTTCGTCATCACAATCCATACTTAAAAGCAGAAGTTGGCAAATGTGTCCTCCTCATTTGCTTTCAAAATATGGCAACCCTACTTCAGGCCTCGATGGACACACCTCCAGCGTTCATTACAGCGAAGGTGTGGGAACAGTCACATTGGGGAAGAGGATAAATGTCGAAATCCCAGTAACGCGGATGTTACGCCCATGATCTGGAACACATTCACTTGGAAACAAGTCCCATCGATTTCAAAATAAGCTTATCCCCAAGTGAGTGTGTGCTTTGAAGTCTCATTTGTCAAACAAAAGCATCTATACAGAGCGCCTCTGTTAAGGCTTTGTACTGGTCTGAAGATAGGTTCACTCAACCAAGAGATTGTTCTTTCGCCTCTGCCTCACTTTGCTTCAGAAGAAGGTTTCTTTGTTGATCCACATGAGGCTGCGGGTCTCGTTCGGCTTGCACTCATACTCAATGCAGGCGAAGCTGTTTCCCCACTGACAGTGGTCTCGCTTGTGGTAGTTGTAGAATTTGACTTGCCAGACTGTTTCAAAAGCACCGATGTCAGTGACCTGGAGAGAGCAAACCCAATTCACTTCTTGTTAAGAGCTAGAAATACCATCATCATCATCATAATTATTATTACTGTTATTTTATTATAAGAATTTCATTTATAGAAGGACAGAGTGAGAAAAATAAAGAAAAAGTGAGATTGAATGAAAAAATGGAAAATAAAGTATTTTTTCTTTTTCTTAAAGAGCTGCAAAACCTGCACGACTGCAGATTCAGAGGTCCTGTGAATACCCTGTAGCCTGACAAACACTAACCTAAACAAGTGTATCAGAATTAGCAGAATTGCTGCACATTAAATAAAATATGTTATTTGAAATAAAGCTTTCGCAGGACAGTGCTCACTTAACTCTGTGGCATGAGTAGCAACACATTCCTATGCATGTCTAATCAGAAACGAAATAGATTGGAAAGAGAAGTTGCTGAATTGCAGCTTATTACCAAACTTAAGGGAAGCGGGTGGCGCTGTGGGTTAAACCACAGAGCCTAGGACTTGCCGATCAGAAGGTGTGCGGTTCAATTCCCCGCGACGGGGTGAGCTCCTGTTGCTTGGTCCCTGCTCCTGCCAACTTAGCAGTTCGAAAGCACACCAAAAAGTGCAAGTAGATAAATAGGTACTGCTCTGGCGGGAAGGTAAAAGGCGATTCCATGCGCTGCTCTGGTTCGTCAGAAGCGGCTTAGTCATGCTGGCCACGTGACCCGGAAGCTGTACACCGGCTCCCTCGGCCAGTAAAGTGAGATGAGCGCCGCAACCCCAGAGTCGGCTACTTCTATGACAGATACTTATGCCAAAATAAAGTCAAATCTGGCTTCATTCCACAACAACTTATATTGGGCATGAAGAGGCTTTAAAAATTGTGATAGCTGAAAAACCACACACAAAGTCACCCCTCTAGGATTCGACACCACTTACCATATGGACCTGCAGGTGGGCCAATTACCAGACTATTGTAACGGTAGACAAACCTATCCAGATACGTGGACGTGCTTAATCTCCTGTTAGTTTACTGCTGACTGCAACTGCTTTTAAAGCATTTTAAGGTAAAGGGTAAAGGGACCCCTGACCATTAGGTCCAGTCGTGTCCGACTCTGGGGTTGCGGCGCTCATCTCGCTTTATTGGCCGAGGGAGCCAGCGTACAGCTTCCGGGTCATGTGGCCAGCAGGACTAAGCCGCTTCTAGCGAACCAGAGCAGCGCACGGAAACGCCGTTTACCTTCCCACCGGAGCGGTACCTATTTATCTACTTGCACTTTGACGTGCTTTTGAACTGCTAGTTTGGCAGGAGCAGGGACCGAGCAACGGGAGCTCACCCTGTCGCGGGGATTCGAACTGCCGACCTTCTGATCGGCAAGTCCATAGCGCCACCCACGTCCCTTTTAAAGCATTTTGCTTATTTTTAAAACTGATTTTATTGATAATACAGTTATTTCTTATAAACCACTTGCAGGGTATGTTACAATCAAGCTGTATATAAATTTTGCTAAATAATAAAGTAATAGTACATCTAAATTCTAAATTACGAAAGAAAACTGAATTCTCCCAGCTGAATAAGTTACAAATTAAGGAAACTTGCACATGGGTCTCAGGCTGGCACTTAGGAGACCCAGGGTTCAAATTTCCCACTCAGCCATGATGCTCACTGGGTGACCTTAGGCCAGTCATAGGCTCTCAGTCTAACCTGCCTGACAGAGTTGCTGCAAGCATAAAATGTGTCAGGGCTGAAACTAGACTTTCTGTCACCCAGGGCAAAGACCCAGTTCAGCACCTCCCCCCATGTGTGTTTGCACACACACACACACACACACACACACACACACAACTCATTTGTTCATAAAGGGCATAAAAAGTAGTTAAAGGCTGGAGAAGTCTCTGCAAATAGTAGAATTGTCTGTGGCTTTCATTCAACCTTAAGTACCGTATTTTTCGCCCTATAAGACGCACCGGCCCATAGGATGCACCTAGATTTTGGGGGGGGGAATAAAGGGGGGGAAATTATTTTTTTCCCCCAGGCGCGGGGCTGGGGCGGGGGAAGCTCGGGCTTCCCCCTCCCCCAGCCCCCAGAACAGGACCCAGAGCCATGCCGAAGCTGCGTGCAGCTTTGGCATCACTCTGGGAGCTTGCGGGGCTGGAGGAGGGGGAAGCCCTCTGCCAGCCTTCTAAACAAGTCAGGGGACAATGGGAAAGGCGCGCTGCGCCTCTCCCGCTGTCCCCCGAGTTTGCGGGGCTGGCGACGGGGAGGAGCAGGCTTCTCCCCCCCGCCAGCCTTCTAACCAAGTCGGGGGACAGCGGGAAAGGCACGCTGCGCCTCCCCGCTGTCCCCCGAGCTTGTGGGGCTGGCGGTGTGGCTCTCCTGAAGCCTGGAGAGCGAGAGGGGTCGGTCTGCACCGACTCCTCTCGCTCTACAGGCTTCAGCGAAAGCCTGCATTTGCCCCATAAGACGCACACACATTTCCCCTTCATTTTTGGAGGGGGGAAAGTGCGTCCTATGGGGCAAAAAATACGGTAGATCTCCTCAGAGTGTAATAGATCATTTGAGGAATTCTAAGACTGTATGACCAAAGGGAAAAATGAAAAAGTAATAGTAAATTGAAAGGGTTTGCACAGAAGAACATGACTTTAAAATACCTGGGTGTGTTTGTCTAACTTATCTTGTTTTCCTAAGATCCTGTGGGGGGGTGGGTTATGGGGCTGGGTCTCCCTGTTAGCTTGATTGTCAAGCAATTATTCCCTGTTTACCTGGCTTTTTTTTAATATTCTCTTTTTTTTATTAAATATTTTCTTGTTTTACAGAAGTATGTGTAATGTCTCTCGTATTTTTTCCATGTAACATTTTTACAAATCAGTTTCATTTGTTGAGACATTAGCGGTTGACCTGGCTTTTGACTCATTGAATGCTCTGTAAATGAAGGATTCAGATGAAATGGTTATCTGTTGTCTCTAGGAGGCACAGGTCCACTCCACCCCACCCCCCCTTGCTGACAGGCGGGAAGCCTGGTGCCCTTGGGAAAGGGTCAGGGGTAGAGATACTGACTGCCCCCCCCCATTGGCTACAGCCCTGAATGGGAGCAGGAAAGTCCACAATCTTGAGCAGAGGAAAGGTGGGATATAAATGTAATAAAATATATTTTGGACTGTGACTAAGTTTTATTCAAAGTAGACGCACCAAAATTAATGAACAGGACTATGTTAAGTCCATTAATTTCAAAGGGTCTACTCTCAGTAAAAGGGATGCAGGTGGCGCTGTGGGTTAAACCACAGAGCCTAGGACTTGCCGATCAGAAGGTTGGCGGTTCGAATCCCCGCAACAGTGGGAGCTCCCGTTGCTCGGTCCCAGCTCCTGCCAACCTAGCAGTTTGAAAGCACCTCAAAGTGCAAGTAGATAAGTAGGTACTGCTCCGGTGGGAAGGTAAACGGCGTTTCCGTGCGCTGCTCTGGTTCGCCAGAAGTGGCTTAGTCATGCTGGCCACATGATCCGGAAGCTGTACACCGGCTCCCTGGCCAATAAAGTGAGATGAGCGCTGCAACCCCAGAGTTGGCCACAACTGGTCAGGGGTCCCTTTACCTTTACCTTACTCTCAGTAAAGCCCCACCCTAACTACCATAAATCTTGCTCTATATTTCAGCTGCAATTGCCCATGTGTCTTCTAGTACAGGACCAGCCTAATACATTTTGCTGCAAATTGCCCCTGCATTTCCCCAGTCAAGATGTGCAGTAGACTAGACTGGCCTGCACCATAGACAGAAAAACTCATGAGCAAACTCTTTCCTTTCCTTTCCTTCCAGAAGTATAAATATAATAATAAACTAAACTATTCACTTCCCTTTCATGACACTACGCTCCATGCTTCTGCAGAACAGTGGCAAAACCACAACCGCAACCCCAATGAATTTCCACCCCTTCACCTCTTAGTTTTTTCACCTACAATTATGTCTCTTGCATTAGCATATAAAGTAGAACCTGGTGCAACGGGTTGCACAAATAAAATGCACAGCAGGGGAAACATCAGCAAGAAATTAGGTAAAGGTAAAGGTAAAGGTACCCCTGCCCGTACGGGCCAGTCTTGACAGACTCTAGGGTTGTGCGCTCATCTCACTCTATAGGCCGGGAGCCAGCGCTGTCCGCAGACACTTCCGGGTCACGTGGCCAGCGTGACAAGCTGCATCTGGCGAGCCAGCGCAGCACACAGAACGCCGTTTACCTTCCCGCTAGTAAGTGGTCCCTATTTATCTACTTGCACCCGGGGGTGCTTTCGAACTGCTAGGTTGGCAGGCGCTGGGAACGAGCAGCGGGAGCGCACCCCGCCGCGGGGATTCGAACCACCGACCTTTCGATCGGCAAGTCCTAGGTGCTGAGGCTTTAACCCACAGCGCCACCCGCGTCCCTCAGCAAGAAATTAGCTTCCTTCAAAAATACACCGAGGCAGTGACCACCAATATAGTTTTGAAATAACATCATTTATGCCCACTGAAAATGATGACCTGTTATGACTTGGACTGCTGCAATGCACTCTGTGTGGGGCTACCTTTGAAGGTGACTCACAAAATACAACTAATTCAGAATTTGGCTGCTAGGCTGGTGACTGGGAGCAGCCACTAGGACTATGTAACAGTAGTCTTAAAGGATCTACACTGCCTTCCTGTACGTTTCCGAGCACAATTCAAAGTGTTGGTGCTAACCTTTAAAGCCATAAACGGCCTTGGCCCAGTATACCTGAAGGAGCATCTCCACCTCTATCGTCCAGCCTGGACACTGAGGTCCAGCTCCGAGGGTCTTATGGTGGTCCCCCCCCCCTTTGAGAAGTGAAGTTACAGGGCATCAGGCAAAGGACCTTCTTGGTAGTGGCGCTGACCCTTTGGAATGCCCTCTCATCAGATGTCAAGGAGATAAAGTATACAGCTACTAGAAGACATCTGGTGGCAGCTCTGTTTGGGAAAGTGTTTAATGGATGATGTTTCGTTATGTTTTTTATATTCTGTTGGAAGCTGTCCAGAATGGCTGGAGCAACCCAGTCAGATGGGTGGGATATAAGTAATAAACCATTATTATTGTTGATGTTATTATGATTATGATTAGGCCAGGAACGCTGGAAAACGGAAACTGTAAATCACAACTGACAAAGACTTGTTGCAGCTACATTCGACTTGCTTAAATCAAAAGGTCTTGAAAGATGGGGAGGACAGAGAGAGAATTGAAAGCAGTTGGTCATGTTATTACTGACAGCTAATCTTTGTCAAGTGCCTTCATTCCAATGATCAAGAGCTGACCTTTGCTCATCTAAATGCATCTAAGATTTTCCAGACCAGTGATTATTGTATTCCAGGAAGACTTTTCAGCCTAGTCAGAATCAGAAGCTTCGGAGTCTCACCTAACAAACATGAAAGGGGGGGGGCTTGCTTGTTATTAGATTATATAGTGGCCCCAGGATACGCTTCTGACAGAATCACAGGAGAGAGATCTCTGTCCCAAGGAACTTACAAATGAAATTAGCAACTGTTAGCCTCACAAGAAGAGAATGGTAGAAAAGGGGAGGCAAGGGTTAACCAGGATGCACATGACTTTGCCCACATTCCCAACTGTAAAACCTATGAGCTGAACCTATACACTGCTTGATGGTAAAAATAAAATAAAATCTCAAAGCAGTTTACAAAAGATGAAACAGCAGAAAAAATTGCAACTACCGTATTGACCCAAATATAAGCCTCACCTGAGTATAAGCCACATGTTTAAAATTGGAGGTGGGGGAGGGGAGAAAAAAAAGAACAAAAAACCCAAATATAAGCCACTCCATTCCTCGCTGCTTCTGGCTGCATACGGGGGGGGGGGGCGTGCTGCGTTTCCGTCGCCCTTTCCCCTTCCTCGCTCTCTCCCTTCCCAGCCTTGGGGGAAGAGGACGGGGGGCTACATGCGGGGAGGGTCCCCACTTTGCTGCGCTCCTGCTGCCGTTTGCCCTGTGCTCCTGGCCACATACCGTAAGGTCACAAATATAAGCCGCACTTCAACTTTTCACGGTTGGAATTTGGGGGGGGGGAGTGAGGCTTATATTCAGGTCAATATGGTAAGTGAAAGGTAAAGGTACCCCTGCCCGAACGGGCCAGTCTTGACAGACTCTGGGGTTGTGCGCCCATCTCACTCTATAGGCCGGGAGCCGGCGCTGTCCGCAGACACTTCCGGGTCACGTGGCCAGCATGACAAGCTGCATCTGGCGAGCCAGCGCAGCACACGGAACGCCGTTTACCTTCCCGCTAGTAAGCGGTCCCTATTTATCTACTTGCACCCAAGGGTGCTTTCGAACTGCTAGGTTGGCAGGCGCTGGGACCGAGCGACGGGAGCGCACCCCGCCGCGGGGTTTCGAACTGCCGACCTTTCGATCGGCAAGTCCTAGGTGCTGAGGCTTTAACCCACAGCGCCACCCGCATCCCCTGGTCAATATGGTAATACAGATTAAAATTAACAAAACTTTTAAAGTATCTGGGTAGGATTGTCTAAACAGGAATGTTTTTAGCAGGTGCCAAAATGACTGCTGTGAAGGTTCTCTATAGGAATGGAATTCTGAAGTGCAAATGCTGAATGTCTGAGTTGCACGATAAGCCTCCCACTGACAACATAAACCAGGGACCTCTGACCTTTTTGGACCCGGAGGCACATTTGGAAACTTAAGAACTGTCACAGGCACACAGAACACCCATTTCAGAGAGGATGCTCACCTCCCGCCCAGGCAAGCGAAGCACCTATGCTCCCCCCAAATAAGAACATAGATAAAACAGGCAGCCAAACCTCTCCCAAAACCCACAGCTTTAAAAAATGGAAGGAGCAGAGGGCCTTGGTGGGGGCAGTGGAAGATGTCTGAAGATGCTGTGGTGCCCACAGGTGCCACGTTGGGGAACCCAGGCTGAAGATGAGTGAAGGAATAATTGCTTAGGCATGTCAGAGCTGTTTGCAATCGGAACATCTGTTCATAGGAGATTTTCAGGGATCTTACGTAACAGCTAGGCTTTCAGCTCCTGTGCAAGGCAGCAATGCGATGCTTATTTGAGCCCAACTCCCAAACCATGATGTTTCTGCCACTACAGATACGTTAAAATCGGCCCAAAGGCTGGAACTCTGCCGTGTCATCTGCTCTCAGGCTTGCCAGGTCAGCGTTCTCCCTGCAGAGGTGCACCCTGTGCCTTTAGCACAAAACTGCAGAAAGCAATGCTGCCAGGAAGGAAAACCTAGACTTGCAAGGTACTGGTTTTTACATGTCTCCTGCCTGTGTGAATTTATTACCACACATGGCAGCTGTTCCATTCTCCTGGTCTTACTATGCAGGCTGCTCAGCAATCATCATGGTTTATTTCCACTGAAATGCAAAGCCCAGTTCTGAAAGGTGGTCTCCGTTTCAGTTATAAGAATGCAAGGCTTATGAAATGCAGAAGCCCTTAACAGAGAAGAAGGAAAATAAGTGATCTTATAAAGGTGTTCACAGCTAGCAGAGATGCAGATGGCTTGCAAAATGGAAAGGGCTTTACTCTGGAGTGTTGTGGGTATCACAGCCAAATATGATAGATGATATAAATAACAAACAACACCTTAGAGCTGATGTGTTGACAGCGGGTGCAATAAACTGAAAAATGCAACTCAGAGGGATTAAATAACTTAAAGGGGCACAGTTTGGCCAGATTTGGTAGCTTTTGCTATGTGTCTATATGGCAGAGATTGCTCTTTCAGTGGGGCGAGATGGGTCAACATAAATCCTACACAGGTTAAAGGTAAAGGGTCCCCTGACCGTTAGGTCCAGTCATGGCCGACTCTGGAGTTGCGGTGCTCACCTCGCTTTACTGGCTGAGGGAGCCGGCATACAGCTTCCAGGTCATGTGGCCAGAAGGACTATGGCGCTTCTGGTGAACCAGAGCAGCGCACAGAAACCCCGTTTACCTTCCTGCTGGAGCGGTACCTATTTATCTACTTGCACTTTGAGGTGCTTTCGAACTGCTGGGTTGGCAGGAGCAGGGACCGAGTAACGGGAGCTCATCCCATCGCGGGGATTCAAATCGCCGACCTTCTGATCGGCAAGTCCTAGGCTCTGTGGTTTAACCCACAGCGCCACATTGCTGCAATAGCACAATACAGCAGTAAAATATTCCTTGCACCTCACCCCCAAGGACGGCAGGGGAAAGGAAAAGCTATATTCCTGTGCTCTGGATTCAAGAACCCTGAATGGAGTCTCCCAATAAAGATAAAGAGATGATGGAAAACATGGGAAATGCTAGCATGTTAATGGTCAGCCACAGCTAATTCTGAGTGTTTTAGCCAAGGACGCAAATCTTTAAACTAATGCCCAAGCCAGAAGAAGCCAACCTGGTTCCCTCTAGAAAATGTGGGACTCCTGTCAGTCCCAGCCTGCGTTGTGCTTGCCTCTGAATGGCCCAGTTTTGCTGCAAGAATATGTCTAGTCACGGATGACCACGTGTCGCTCCTTAAACCTCAGGTGAACTGGAGCGATGAATGGGTCAGCTGAGGTCATGGGCTCTGCAGAGTAATGGCCAGTCGGCCTTTGGAGGTTTACGCTGTCACAGATGCTTAAAAAGATAGAAGTCCAAGGTAAAGGGGAATCACAACAGACAGTGCTATGTTCTTAAGTGCAATACCTTTTAAACAGACCAGAATGCACTGCCCGTGCCCAGACAACATCACTTATGCTACCCCACCCCCAAAAACACACACTACCTGTATGTTGATTTGTATGGGCTGCCTCTCGCCACTTTTAGTGTGAGTTACGCCTTCTGTATCGTAGATTCCAGTGTAGGTAACAGCTTGGGGGTCTCTCGACTTCTCTTCCAGGGGGAACGTTACGCCCCCTATACCCATAGTCCTGAAAGAGTAGTTAATATTCTTAGCAAGCCTCTCTTCCTAACGTGGAGAGAGAAAGTAAGGTTTACAAGCAAACATCTGCCATGATTATAACCAGCTCCCTTTAGTTTTCTGCCCATATATCAGAATGTAACAGAGAAGGGCAGAACAAATGCCATGCCACTGTCATTCATGACGGGCGGGGTGGTGGTGGACATACAATGGACAGATACTCTCAAGAAACAAAGAAGTATTCAGTTCCACCACTTTCTGTTCAGGAGGCCATCAAAGAAGATGTGCCCCCTCCACGTGAGGTCCACAGGGTGGCAACACAAGAACAGGCCTTTTCTGCAGTGGCTCCCTGTTTGTGGAATGCTCTCCCTGTTTGTGGAATGCTCTCCCTGTTACCTTCATTACACATCTTTAGGCTCCCAGGCCTTTGAATGATTTACATTCTATGTCCTTTTAAATGTCCTTGTGGGAGAGAGGGTTATGGGTTTGTTTTGTTTTTTGCATTTTCATTTTGTATTTTATGCTGTGAACTGCCCTGAGATAAATAATCATACACTCTCCACCCCAAGGGATGCCCTAAAAATATGCTGGTGACTCTTTTTGCAGATATCTGTCTATGCCATATAGCTGCAATTCAAAACAATTTGATTATGTGCCACTAATCTCAATGAATAAAAAGGCAAAGGTACCCCTGCCCGTACGGGCCAGTCTTGCCAGACTCTAGGGTTGTGCGCTCATCTCACTCTATAGGCCGGGAGCCAGCGCTGTCCGCAGACACTTCTGGGTCACGTGGCCAGCGTTACGAAGCTGCTCTGGCGAGCCAGCGCAGCACACGGAACGCCGTTTACCTTCCCGCTGGTAAGCGGTCCCTATTTATCTACTTGCACCCGGAGGTGCTTTCGAACTGCTAGGTTGGCAGGCGCTGGGACTGAACGACGGGAGCGCACCCCGCCGCGGGGATTTGAACCGCCGACCATTCGATCGGCAAGTCCTAGGCGCTGAGGTTTTACCCACAGCGCCACCCGCGTCCCATCTCAATGAATACAAATGAGTAATTAGTCGAACAGTTTGAACAGAAACGCTACAAAAGAAGGAAAGTGGGCTGTAACAAGGAGAAATTGGAGGGGTTTGTTTTAAAACCTGCCTTTTATGACTCAGAAGAAGATACCTCTGTGTTTGTCCTATGGGAGCCTCAGAACATAGCAAACTGTTTTATACCAAGGCAGACCATTAGTTGAGCTAGCTCAGTATCGTCTGCAGAGATTGGTAGTGACTCTCCAGGATTTCAGGCAGAGGATTTCCCCAGCCCTACCTGGAGATTATTGGGACTGAACCTGGGACCTAGGGCAGACTGAGCTATAACCCCTCCCTTAGAGACAGCCAGCTCAGCTACCAACACTTCAAAAATGGAGCTATGGTGTCAGGGATGTAGGAAGGGGGGGGCGGTCCACTCCAGGTGTCATCCTGGGTGTGTGTGTGACAAAATCCCCCCAGGGCGGATTGCCACCACACTGATTGCACCCCTGGGTGGGCCGCTGCTGTGCCGCTGCCCCCCGCCCAGCAGATGACTGCCGTGCTGATCACCCCGCCCCTGGGAGGATCACCCCGCCCCTGAGTGCACGACATGTGCGCCGCTCCAGGTGCCCAAGTGGCTAGCTCCGCCGCTGTATGGTGTCTGGACAGTTCCTTCAATGTTTCTAAGTAAATAGAACAGGATCTATTATTCAGATTACGTCCATCAGGCATATCTATTTTGGAGCTGGGAAGTGTAGCAGTATTGCGCCAAGTGAGGTTTATGGCCTTGGTTCAAAGAGAGCACAGTGCAAAACGTGTGTCTGGTGCAAACATCATTCCTTGCTTTGAAAGGGAGGAAAACAAGCAAGGAGTTTGTCAGTCCTTAGATAAAACATGTGATCATGTGTATACACATTTAAACTCACTTAGGAGCACAGCACCACCATGGCTTCAGGAATGAAATGGACCTTCTGCCACCTGATGCTGCTCAGAAGCAATTCATATTTAATTCAATGGGTTCTGCTTCCAGCTACAGTGGCGGACTTTGGGCTTTCAAATTTCAGCAGCACCCTGTGCAACTCCAAAATTCGGTGGCCTCTTGCCTTCCGTTCCAAGTCATTGTTGCGACGCCCCCTGCAGCACCCTCTTGGCTCAGCACCTAGCGCGGGCAAACCAGTAACACTCCCCTAGATCCAGCTGTGCCAGGTAAGCGGAGAAAGGTTTGCAACTTCACTTGGGAATAAGCTCCATTTCACTGTATAAAAGGTAATACCTTCTTAAAGTAAAAGGAAAGGAAAGGAAAGGGGGGGGGACCTCAGACTTTGGGGGCCCATTAGCTTGCTGCATTTTACCTTGCTTATTCAGTGAGTTAGTTCTTAAATTTGTACACTGCCCTTCATCCAAAGATCACAGGGCAGTTCACAAGAAAACGAGAATGCAAAATGAAACAAAAACAACCCAGTAACCCCAACCTCCCCTCCATTTAAAAGGGCACAGAATGCTAGTCAAAGGCCTGGTTATAGACAAACATTTTCGCATTGCACAAACGGGAGCCACCCTCCCGGCCTTTCAAAGAAGAAGGGCCTCAGATGATGATGACAGCAGGGTCTGGGTTGGAGAGAGACTTCTTTGGAAGCTGCGGCATTTATTGCTTTAAGGTCCTGATTTTAATGGATTTGTCTTTGACATTACCCTAATACCCCCCCAAAACCCGTTTGAATGGAAGGCAGAAAATGAATGTTTTAAATTAATGTCTCGCTGGCAACCGCGCCCCCCTGACAAATTCCCAAGTAAAGAGAAAGAGAGGATGCTGCAGAGACCAGGATCAGTCCCCTGGCGGTCCAGGAGTTAACCCTAGGACCATTTGCTGCTGCTGCCCCTCCTCACCACCTGCAACTCTGCACGAGGTCACCGGGCGGTGTCCCCTGATTCCAGAAGCCCTGGATCCGCCCTGCTTCCAAGACCCCCCTAGAGGATGCGCGCAGGAGGGGAGGCCGGTTACATAAGCAAAGCCGGAGCGAGGACGCCGGGCAGATCCGCTCCATTGTTCCCCCCCCATCCCCTAGGCATCGCCCTCCTCCGGTCTCCAGCGCCGCACCTCGCCGGGCCTTCGAGCCGAGCCTCTCCAGTCCTTCCCTGCACCCGCACCGGCCCTTTTCTGCTGGCAGGGAGCGGGGCGTTTGCCTGCAAGGCTGGCCTTCGCGAGCAGGCTGCTCGGCGCTTTATTCCTCGGGCGCAAGGCAGCAAGGGGGCTCGTTTCCTTTTTTGCCCAGGTCCCGTTGGCGCTGCGGGTCCCGCTGGCCGCTGTGCGGGGTCAGGGCGCAGAGATGCCGAAGGGAAAGAATAAGAATGGGAATAAAGATGGAAGCCTGTCCCTTTGCCAGGGAAGAAATCTGGGCGGGCGCGCTGCAAGACGCAGAAGCTGCTCTGGGGAGGGAAAGGTGAGGAGGGCAGGTAGGTCCCCACTTACGTGGCCTGGATGGCTCCGGGCTTAATGGCCACCTCGACTTTGTACTTGGCCCCCGTGAGCAGCTTGATGGTCCGGTTCTGCCCGAACCTCTGGCCGTCCACCTTGAAGTAGACGGGCCCGTCGTTGGGCTGGATCTTGAGCGAGATCTTGATCCGCACCACGGTGGGCACCTCGGCCATGGCTGCGTCTTTGCGCAGGATGGAGGCGCGGGAGGAGGAGGGCAGGCTCTCCGCCCGGATCCCCCTCGCCACGGATGACGACGGAGGCCCGCTACACCCCCACCCCACCCCCCCTCCCGCGCGGGTGCGCGCTCGGGTGCGGACGGAAAGAGCGGCGGGGCGGGCGGGGCGCGCGCGCGCGCCGCTGGGTCTGTGCGCAACGCTAGGCGCGGAAGTTAATCCCCGCTGGCCTGATTCTGGGCCGCCCCCGAGCCAAGCCGGGCGCCTCCCTGCGGACTTGGTCAGACGCGGCCAGCGGAGAAGGGAAACCCCCCGAGCGCCTCGCGGGTGGGGCTGCTCGCTGTGTTATTTTTACGAAAATCAGTGCGAAGAGGGGCTCTGGCTCGGATCTAATCGCTCCGGGTGGAAACAGCTGTCTGCCGAGCATCTTCTCTCGGGGGGGGGCACCACGAAGAAGCTGGGCTTTGGGTGCCGTGGATTGATAGTTGGAAGGGACCCCGAGGGTCATCTAGTCCAACCCCCTGCAAGGCAGGAATCTCAACGAGATCATGCATCCAGAGGCGGACCTTGGGAATATGGTGCCCTGAGGGAGGACAAAAGATGGCGCCCCCTCCCTAGATATTTCTGATTTTCAACAGTTCATTTCTGGTACAGTTGCTTTCTTAGGGTCTTCTCAGTAGGTGCCCAAATAAATACAGCGGTACCTCGGGTTACAGACGCTTCAGGTTACAGACTCCGCTAACCCAGAAATAGTACCTCAGGTTAAGAACTTTGCTTCAAGATGAGAACAGAAATTGTGCTCCAGCGGCGTGGCGGCGGCAGGAGGCCCCATTAGCTAAAGTGGTGCTTCAGGTTAAGAACAGTTTCAGGTTAAGAACGGACCTCCGGAACGAATTAAGTACTTAACCTGAGGTACCACTGTATAGGTTTTATTATGATCTTCCATACTTGCTGGACGGGTTTTGATGCTGGGCGTCATCCATGTTACCTCTCTCCTTAGGTCCCAGCAAGGTAGTGAGGTCCAGGTGTCTGAAGTTGGTGGTGATAGACTGGATGAGGCCTAACAAACTGAAAGTTAATTCAGATTGGTTGGTGGGAAGCAATCTGGTTGATCTAGGATCAAGTGCTGAGCCTATTCTGGATGGGTTTCCACGCACCCATCCTTGAAAGAGAAGATTTGCACCTTGAAGGTGCTTGTGAGTTTGGCTATTACAGGATGAACCAAAGGTAGCAGCAGCCAGTAGTTTTGCTTACTACACCAGTTGAACCAACTTCTAGCCACAGAGATGCAGACCACAGGAACCTCAAAATTAGACTACTGCAATGCATTCCACATGGGGCTGCCTTGGAAGAGTGGTCAGGATCCACAACTTGTCCAAAATATGACAACAAGGTTCTTGATGGGCTTCTAATTTGTATCACACCTAGTCTCACACATCTGAATCGCTTACCGGCTTGTGTCCGGGCCTTATTGAAAGTGCTGTTTTGACTTTCAGAGCCTGAAATGGTCTGGAACCAAGCTATTGGGGGAAAGGGTGTCTTCTTATATATTCCCCTACTTACACCATCTTGGGTTACTTACTTTGCTGACCCATGGACAGTGAGAGCCACATCACAGGCTTTCTCTGTGGGATTCCTTTTGCAGGAGGATACATCTGGTTGACCCTTGTGAGTTTTTGGAGGGCAGCCAAAGCTTTCACATTTAGGAAAGCTTTCATACTGCTGGACAAGAAGAGCCAGTGTGGTGTAGTGGCTAAGAGTGGTGGACTTGTAATCTGGTGAACCGGGTTCGCTTCCCCACTCCTCCACATGCAGCTGCTGGGTGACCTTGGGCTAGTCACACTTCTCTGAAGTCTCTCAGCCTCACTCACCTCACAGAGTGTTTGTTGTGGGGGAGGAAGGGAAAGGAGAATGTGAGCCGCTTTGAGACTCCTTAGGGTAGTGATAAAGCAGGATATCAAATCCAAACTCTTCTTCTTCTTTTTGTCTTGTTTTATCTTGTTTGATACTAGTGAATGATATGTTACTTGTCAGCTCTGATTGTTGTTTTCTTTGTGTATAATTTGCCAGCTGCTGCAAGAACCATGTACTGAGCATGCAGGGGAGTCATGCTCAGGGACAGGGGTCCCAGTTACAGAAGATCTAAGCCATGGGTAGGCAATCTAATGCCCAGGGGCCGGATTCAGCCCAACCACCTTCTAAATTTGGCCCGCGGACAGTCCTGGAATCAGCATGTTTTTACATGAGTAATAATAATAATAATTTTTATTTATATCCCGCCCTCCCCAGCCAAGGCCGGGCTCAGGGCGGCTAACAAGCAATAATAAAAACAAGTTGAATGAATACAACTTAAAAACAAGATTAAAATACAACATTAAAATATCGAAACAATAAAATATTAAAATGTTAAAATGCAGCCTCATCACAGGAGGAGAAAGGAAAAAGAAAGAGGGGGAGGGAATCAAATTGGCTCCAAGCCAAAGGCCAGGCGGAACAACTCTGTTTTACAGGCCCTGCGAAAAGAAATCAGATCCTGCAGGGCCCTGGTCTCATGAGACAGAGCGTTCCACCAGGCCGGAGCCAGAGTTGAAAAGGCCCTGGCTCTGGTTGAAGCTAATCTAACTTCCTTAGGGCCAGGGACCTCTAGGGTGTTGTCATTTATGGACCTTGAGGCTCTCCGTGGGGCATACCGGGAGAGGCGGTCCCGTAGGTATGAGGGTCCTAGGTCGTGAAGGGCTTTAAATGTCAAAAGCAGCACCTTAAATCTGACCCTGTACTCCACCGGGAGCCAGTGCAGCTGGAAAAGCACTGGGTGAATATGCTTCCATGGCCGAGACTCCATGAGGAGCCTCGCTGCAGCATTCTGCACCCGCTGGAGTTTCTGGGAGTTTCTGAGTAGAATGTGTCCTTTTATTTAAAATGCACCTCTGGGTTATTTGTGGGGCATAGGAATTCGTTCATCCCTCCCCCCAAAAAAATATAGTCCGGCCCCCCACAAGGTCTGAGGGACAGTGGACCGGCCCCCTGCTGAAAAAGTTTGCTGACCCCTGATCTAAGCCTTCACCAAAGTACTCATCAGTGTGGGGAGGGTTGCAGATGCAGCCCAGTCCAAACAAACCAAGGTCAAGCACACATAATTAGTTTAGGTCCAAACATGATCCAGAGACAAGGCCAGGCGACAGTCTAAGGTTAACATCACAGGGAGGTTAGGCCAGACACAACACCACAAGGCAGGGAAACCAGCACCAGGAACTAGCCACCAAAGACTTTTCTTTGTTTCCACAAACTGGAAGACTCAGGAGGGGAAGCCTTATATACTTTGGGCTCCTAAATGACACCCTAACCACAACCGCTGGTAGTGAAGGAGTATTAGGGACTCCCTTACTCATGAATAGTTGCAGTTGCTCAAAAGTAGCCTGGCTCTGGGTTGGTAGACAGATACTATGCCTAGAGGGACGTGGGTGGCGCTGTGGGTTAAACCACAGAGCCTAGGACTTGCCGATCAGAAGGTTGGCAGTTCAAATCCCCACGACGGGGTGAGCTCCCATTGCTCGGTCCCTGCTCCTGCCAACCTAGCAGTTCGGAAGCACGTCAAAGTGCAAGTAGATAAATAGGTACCGCTCTGGCGGGAAGGTAAATGGCATTTCCGTGCGCTGCTCTGGTTCGCCAGAAGCGGCTTAGTCATGCTGGCCACATGACCCGGAAGCTGTACGCCAGCTCCCTTGGCCAATAAAGTAAGATGAGTGCTGCAACCCCAGAGTCGGTCACCTAATTGTCAGGGGTCCCTAATTACCTAATTAGTATATAGGATTTTGATGGTTTGAGTTAAATACATTTAGATCTGGCAGGATTAGTTGAGCATTCACACATTTACCAGCTTCTATGGTGTCAAGGTGGCGCTGTGGGTAAAAGCCTCAGCGCCTAGGGCTTGCTGATCGAAAGGTTGGCAGTTCGAATCCCCGCGGCGGGGTGCGCTCCCGTCGTTCGGTCCCAGCGCCTGCCAACCTAGCAGTTCGAAAGCACCCCGGGTGCAAGTAGATAAATAGGGACCGCTTACAAGCGGGAAGGTAAACGGCGTTTCCGTGTGCGGCTCTGGCTCGCCAGAGCAGCGATGTCACGCTGGCCACGTGACCCGGAAGTGTCTCCGGACAGTGCTGGCCCCCGGCCTCTTGAGTGAGATGGGCGCACAACCCCAGAGTCTGGCAAGACTGGCCCGTACGGGCAGGGGTACCTTTACCTTTACCTTTATGGTGTCAAGTCATGCTGGCTGACAGGCAGTTAAGGGTGGGTGTTATGTATATTTGCATGATACTGCTAGCATCTTTATATAACAGGCCCATGCCTAAAATGTAGGCCTTTACTCTTGCATTATTTGTTTCTCATTTTTTTAATGTGCTGGATTTGGGATTTCAATCCAGCGTGTCTCTTTCTAAGAATCAAGCAGATTTTTATCTACAGATTTGACTCTTAATCTGGTGCCTGGGGAAGTTGTGTTTATTCTTCTTTGGGGAGTTTCCAGAAAAATGCTAGACCAGAATCTACTGCCAGGGAATCCAATGTAGTGCCCTTCAGATGTTGTTGGACTCAATTTCCATTAGCCTCAGCCAGAACGGTTGACAACCGACAACCAGGGATGATGGGAGCCCATCCACATCTGGAAGGCTCCATGTTGCATATCCCTGATCTACCACAATGTTTCCGTACAGAACCAATGGCCAACTGGTTCTCTTCATGCTCTGCTTTCTTGGAATCCTTTTTCCTGAATCTGGTCTTTTAATTTCACATACATTAGAAGGATAGTTTCACAGTACCCTTCATTTTCTGCAATCAGCTCAGAGGGAATGGAGGTCATTTGGAGGACTAGTAAATCCATCCTTTACTTTTCCTGTTTCTTGAAGCGCAAAATGTTAGTAGCATGCATCTATATTAATGCTGCCTCAGCACTGGTAGTTTTGAGAGATGGGACATGGAACTAAAAAGCAATCTATTGTGAATTGTACATGAAAAGTGTGCACGAGAAAGGAGAGTATCAGCTATTTTCAAGAGTGGAGTTTACATATGTACTGAATTATCTCCCCCAAATTTAACTAAATTCAGTTTTGGGGTGTTTGGAAAATCCATTGTACTGTGTTGAT